ATCATTTCCCAAAAAAGGTGCTTAACTTGGTTAAGTTATAAATGCTTACCTTTATTTCTAAGGCGATTAATCTCTTCTCCATCCCAGAAGTTTGGAATTGTGTAGCTACTACCCCCCAGTGGTGGGTAGAAGTAAATTCCTGCCAAGGTACAGTATTTTAAATTTTCTTGATTGGGAAAGAACAAATTATCTGCAGGATTTTCTATGTATGTAATGATGTCAACCATGAGTCAAGGCAGTTTTTTTTCTTTTCTCTCTTTTTTTTTCAAGGCAGTTTTATTTCTTCATTTCCAAACTGTACACTTTTTACTTTTTTATTTCCCTATTGTATTGCCTAGGATCTCTAGGACAATTTGTTCTTGATCTTAGCAGAAAAGCAATCAATCTTTAGCCATTAAGCAAGATGTTAGCTGTAGATTTTTCATAGATGCCCTACATCAGACTGAGGAATTCCCCTACTTTTCCTAGTTTGCTGAGAGTTTTTGCTTTCATAAATACTGAATTTTTTCATGTTATTTTTTATGCTTCCATTGGGATGATTACATACATTTTCTTTATACGGTTAATACTGTATATTATAATTATTGGTTTTTGAGTGTTAAACTAACCTTAACTTCTTAGGAAGTAAATCCCAATTTGTCATAGTATATTGTTCTTTTTACACATTGTTGGCTATAATTTGTTGGTATTTTGTTAAGAATTTTTGCTCATAAGGAAATATTGGTCTACAGTTTTCTAACATCTTTGTCTGGTTTTGGTATCAGGGTAATGATTGTCTCATAAAATTCAGTTGAAAGGTGTTTTTTCCTCTTCTATTAGAGAGTTTGTATAGGATTTATATTATTTCTTTTTAAAATGTTTGATCAACAATGAGAAGGTTGGCTGAACCAGTTCAGAAGGTTTTCAGTTATGAATTCAATTTCTTTAATAGAGATATTCAGATTTTCTATGTCTTATTTAAATGCTTGCCCTGACCGGTTTGGCTCAGTGGATAGAGCGTCGGCCTGGGGACTGAAGGGTCCCAGGTTCGATTCCAGTCAGGGGCATGTACCTTGGTTGTGAGCACATCCCCAGTTGAGGGTGTGCAGGGGGCAGCTGATAGATGTTTCTCTCTCATCAATGTTTCTCTCTGCCCTTCTCCCTTCCTCTCTGTAAAAAAAAAAAATGCTTTATTGTTTAAAGTATTACATAAGTCTCCTTTTCCCCCCATTGACCTCTCCCTGGCCACTCCCACCCCCGCAGCACATGCCCTCACCCCACTACTGTCTGTATCCATTGGCTATGCTCATATGCATGCATACAAGTTCTTTGGTTGATCTTTTATTCCTCCCCCCACCTCCCCTGCCTTCCCTCTTAGGTTGGATGGTCTGTTCAATGCTCCTGTCTCTGGAACTATTTTTGTTCATCAGTTTATGTTGTTCATTATATTCCACAAATGAGTGAGATCATGTGATATTTATCTTTCTCTGACTGGCTTATTTTGCTTAGCATAATGCTCTCCAGGTCCATCCATGCTGTTGCAAATGGTAAGAGTCCCTTCTTTTTTATAGCAGCCTAGTATTCCATTGTGTAGATGTACCATAGTTTTTTTTGTTTTTATTTTTTAAAAACTCTTTATTGTTTAAAGTATTACATGCCCCCCTCCCCCATTAACCCCTCTTGGCCATTCCCACCCCCCAGCTCATGCCCCTCACCACGCCCCCCATCCCCCTAGTGTCTGTGTCCATTGGTTATGCTTATATGCATGCATATAAGTCCTTTGGTTGAGCTCTTACCTATCTCCCACCCTCCCCCTGCCTTCCCTCTGAGGTTTGATGCTCAGTTCAATGCGTCTCTATCTCTGAATCCATTTTGTCCATTAGTTTATGTGTTCATGTATATTCCATAGATGAGGGAGATCATGGAAATTTTTCTCGGACTAGGTTATTTCACTTAGCATAATTGCTCTCATGCGCCAACCATGCTATTGCGATAAGTAGAAGT